AAAAAAAAAAAAAAAAGAGAAAAGGAGAGGGAACAGAGGCTTGTAGTTCTGCAGGCTGCACGGGCATGGCGTCAGTATCTGCTTGGCCTCTGGGGAGGCCTCAGGAACCACCCATGGTGGCGGAAGGCCAACGGGGAGCCAGGGTATCCCACGGTGAGGGAGGAAGCAAGAGAGAAGGACTGGGAGGGACCGAGAGCCAGACCAAGGGGCTGAGCGGCGCCCACCCAGGTTTCCAGAGGAAGGAGATTTTGGGTGGGAAACAAACTTCACCGGGTGTGGCTGTTCGTCACAGGAACGTGTCCTGCTGGTCACTTACGATTGCTGGGTCTGTGACAGCAGCAGCCGGTCAGGCACGGGCAGGGCAGGAGAGGGCTCCCCTCCCACACACCAGGTGTCGGGCGGACCTGTCGGCGACTGGTCAGGCAGTTGTTTAGGCTGCGCTCGGCGTAACATAATAATTGTTGCGCAGCTGGCACGCAGGGAACCGGCAGGCTCCCAGCAGAGAGCAAACACCGCTGATAACGTGATCAGCCGCTTCCGGTACGATCTCCGGAGCTGGGCTAAGCGGGCCGAGCAGGCCCACTAAGAGGGCAAAATGGCGGAGTTTAACTGGTCTGTGGCCTTCAAAGTGGATTCTGCTAGCTGTGTCATTTTTTGAAGAGCATCTCAAGTGAGCCACAAGCACGGCTCCAGCCAACGCACCACACACGCTCCCGTCCCGAGCGCTAGCGACCAACGCACGCACACGCGGACAGCCCACCCATGGGAAGAATCACAGAGAAGGGATGCGAGACCCCGGGAGCACGCCTGTCATCCCGCAGACTGTGGGGGCCAGCAGGCGGATCACAAGGTCAGGAGTTCAAGACCAGGCCTGGCCAACATGGTGAAACCCCGTCTCTACTAAAAATATAAAAATAGCCGGGGTGGTGATGCATGTCTGTAATCCCAGCTAGTTATGAGGCCTGAGGCAGGAGAATCGTTTGAACCCATCAGGTGGAGCTTGCAGTAGCCGAGATCGCGCCACTGCGGCTCACAGCTGGGTGACAGAGCGAGACTCCGTCTCAAAAAAAACAACCCAAGTCAAAGATCGAACTGCACACTAGTCTTCTGAGTTTGCCTGCTTGGGCCTTTTCCAAGTGTACTTGCCTTCATTTGTTCGCTGCTCCTAAAGCTGGCTCACTTTTTCTTTATTATTATTATTATTTTGAGACAGGTTCTCACTCTGTCACCCAAGCTGGAGTGCAGTGGTGTGATCTCGGCTCACTGCAACCTGCGCCTCCCAGGTTCAAGCAATTCTCCTGCCTCAGCCTCCCAAGTAGCTGGGATTACAGGCATGTGCCACCACGCCCAGCTAGTTTTTGTATTTTTAGTAGAGGCAGGATTTCACTACCTTGGCCAGGCTGGTCTCAAACTCCTGGCCTCAAGTGGTCTTCCCACCTTGGCCTCTCACGGTGCTGGGATTACAGGTGTGAACCACCGCACCCGGCCTCTAAAGCGTTTTAATAAACTGTCACTCCTGCTCTAAAACTTGCCTCAGTCTCTCCTTCTGACGTCTGCCCCTCAGTCGAATTTTTATTGTGAGGAGGCAAGACCTGAGGTTGCAGCAGATCTGCGTGCATTTGCTGTTGCTCCCAGACCTGGAGGATGCTACTGTGGCCGTGGCACACAGAGAGCTGGAGCAGGCTGCTGGCTGTGCGGGCGGGGAGGAGAGAGCGCGGGGAGAGGGCTGCGGGCGGCGCTGCAGCCTCTCTCTGCGTTTCTAGGGCTGGTCTCTAACTGAGCTCAAACTCCTCATCCTAACGTAGCCCTGCAGGCCGGGGGAGGGCGTCGGAGACCTGACCCTGAGGAGGGAGACCAGGCCCCAAGGAGGGAGACCTGACCTGGAGGAGGGAGACCAGGCCCGGAGAGGGAGACCTGGCCCAGGGGAGGGAGACCTGACCTGGAGGAGGGAGACCAGGCCCGGGGGAGACCAGGCCCGGGGGAGGGAGACGGGGCCCGGGGAAGGGAGACCAGGCCCAGGGGAGGGAGACCTGACCTGGCCCGGGGGAGGGAGACCAGGCCCGGGGGAGGGAGACCTGACCCAGAGGAGGGAGACCAGGCCCGGGGGAGGGAGACCAGGCCCGGGGGAGGGAGACCTGACCCGGGGGAGGGAGACCTGACCCGGGGGAGGGAGACCAGGCCCGGGGGAGGGAGACCAGGCCCGGGGGAGGGAGACCTGACTGGAGGAGGGAGACCAGGCCCGGGGGAGGGAGACCAGGCCCGGGGGAGGGAGACCTGACCTGGAGGAGGGAGACCAGGCCCGGGGGAGGGAGACCTGGCCCGGGGGAGGGAGACCTGGCCCGGGGGAGGGAGACCTGACCCGGAGGAGGGAGACGCGGCCCGGGGGAGGGAGACCAGGCTCCTGCTCTGTCCAGGGTCCGGCACTGGGTTCTCTCCCCGTATCTCAGGCTGCGTCGTCCCCACTGCGTCTTCCTCTGGGGGCTGCGGCTCCTCGGGTCGGCTATGATGCAACGTGGGTGGGGGACGGGGGCTGGGGGTCAGGTTGGGTAATGCCTGCGGCTCCCTCTGCCTCCTTCCTCTCTGTGTGCAGCTCCGTGTCCAGAAGGGCCAAGAAGGGCACTGGGTGAGGCTGAGAGCGGCCAGGTGGGGTCTCCACAGGGGAACCAGCACTGGGACAGTCACCTCCAGCAGCATCCTGATGTTCTGGGGACACTGGTGCTGGGGGTTCGGCGGGGAAGGGCTCCTGGGTCCTCATGACCCTCTCCCATGGGTGAGCTTCGGGGTCTTGGAAACAGATTAAAGGGATGTCAAGTCCTCATTCCTCGGAGCTGCTGACAAGGCCAGACTGGGTCAGGTTTTCTTGCTCCCACCCCAGCACCTCCGGGCAGCGGAAGGTCCAGAGAGAGGTTGGGGACCGGGCTGTTCAGTGCGTCCTGGGCTTGTCCCCGTCTCTCCCTGGCTGGTGACTTGTACTCTCCTGGAGCTGGTTCTTGCAGCCCGAGGCCGTCGTGAGATAGGAGGCACTAAGGGTTATTTTGGGGAGGCAGATATTTTGGGCCAAAGAGGAGAACGGGCTCCAGGCACCGGGAAGTGAATCCTTCACTCCCAAGGACGGTGGGTGTCACCACCTGAGGGTGAGGAGGGGACCTGGCCAGAGAACAGGAACGGGCTATCCTTTAACACACGCATCCCTCCCTCCCTCCCTCCCTAGCTGGGGTGTCGCTGCTGCTTCTCTTTGAGGCGTTGACCATTTCTCAGACCCCCCCCCCGCCACCGGGGCTGCCTCCCACCCCTGCAGCTCCGATGGCCACGGTTCACACACTGCAGTTCTGTGCCCTGGACCCAGTCCCACCCAGTGGGACTCAGCGCCTGGTCCCACCTGCTCTCAGCATTCTGAATGTGCCCAGGAGGGGCTGCCCTGCCCACCCACTTCCTCTGTAGGAGAGATAAATGGGCTCCCAGAGACGCCAGGGAAGAGGCAGAGAGACAGGGGGCACGGGTATGCCGCCCACTCTGAACCCCCCTCTCCATTCCCAGACCCCAGCTGGGGCTCAGATCTCCTCATCCCAAGCCTGGCTTTCTCCCCACAGATGCTGTGGCTGCTGCTCCTGACCCTCCCCTGCCTGGGGGGCTCTGTGCCCGGGAACCCAGGCGAGTCCACCCCACCCAATGCCCCCTCTGCTCAGGACCCCCTCCCTGCCCTGGGCTTACAGCACCAGCCCTGCCGGGGACGCGGGGACCATCTGATTGCCGGTCTTTCCTGGTGCCCCTGAGCCCTGGAAAGACCCTCGTCCGGCCCCCTCACGCCCCTCCCTTGCCTCCCCAGAGCCCGGCGCGGGGCGTGAGCTGGTGGGCATCGTCGGGGGCTGCGACGTCTCGGCCAGGAGGTACCCCTGGCAGGTCAGCTTGAGGTTCTACAGCATGGAGAAGGGCCTGTGGGAGCACATCTGCGGGGGCTCCCTCATCCACCCAGAGTGGGTGCTGACCGCCGCCCACTGCCTCCAGCCGTGAGTGGAGCCTGCCGTCCCCTCGGCGGGTGGGAGTGGGGGTGGGGACGGGCAGGTGTCCTGTGTGCTGGGGGCCCCTCCCGGGATTCAGGGAAAGCCCCGGTCCTGAGCATCCAGCCTTGCTCTGAGAGGTGCCCATTCCTCTCTCCAGGGAGGAACTGGAGGCCTGTGCGTTCCGGGTGCAGGTCGGGCAGCTGAGGCTCTGTGAGGACGACCAGCCGACGAAGGTGGTTGAGATCGTCCGTCATCCCCGGTACAACAAGAGCCTGTCTGCCCAGGGCGGTGCGGACATCGCCCTGCTGAAGCTGGAGGCCCCAGTGCCGCTGTCTGAGCTTGTCCACCCGGTCTCGCTCCCGCCTGCCTCCCTGGACGTGCCCTCGGGGAAGACCTGCTGGGTGACCGGCTGGGGTGACATTGGACATGGAGGTCAGGAACAGAGCCCCTTGGGTGGGATGTGGGGAGATGGCCTGGAATGTCGGTGCGGGCCTGGGCTCCAGATGCACCCGGACGGCTTCCTGCCGTTGCTGAGACGGGTGACCACAGGCCAGGTGGTTCAGAGCAGCAGGAATTGTTTATCTCACGGCTCTGGAGGTGAAACGTCCAAACTCGAGGCGGGGGCAGGGCTGGTTCCTTTCAGAGGGCCCGAGGGAGAGTCCATTCCATGCTTTCCCCGGCTTCTGGGGCCTCTGCCCATCCTCATGCCCCTGGGCTTGCGGCCGTGTTTCTCCAGGCTCCGCTCTCCCTTCTCCTGTATGGACACTGAGTGCTGTGTTTAGGGTGTCTGTAATTTAACACGACCTCATCTTAATTCTATCTGCAAAGGTCTTTTTCCAAATAAGGTCACAGTGGCAAGTTCTAAGGTTGTGACATGGGGGTGCTCCTGTCCACCTCCCAACAGGCATTTTCTGAGTTTACTCCATCCTCAGCGTCACACTCAGTTGCCTGCTCTTCCTTTGCAGCAAATAAACCATGACCTACGGGAGGCGGGGGACTCGCCCTGGGCCCCGCAGCGCGTCAGCCGCTGGAGCCTCATTCCCACCACAACGCGGTCCAGGCGGAGTCCCGGTCCCATGCTTTTCCCAAACAGTTTCTTTTTAAACAATTTTTTATTTAAAAACTTGTTTTTGAGGCAGGGTTATCTGTGTCGCCCAGGCTGGAGTGCAATGGTACAGTCATAGCTCACTACAGCCTCAAACTCCCAGGCTCAAGTGATCCTCCCACCTCAGTCTCCCAGGTAGCTGGAACCACAGGCGTGAGCCACCACACCCGGCTGACTTTCTTTCTTTTCGTAGGGACAGGGTTTCATCGTGTTGCCCAGGCCGGTCTCAAACTCCTGGGCTCAAGTGATCCTCCCACCTCAGCCTTCCAAGTGTTGAATAGCTGGGACTACTGGTGTGCGCCACCATGCCTGGCTTATTTTATTTTATTTTATTTTATTTTTACTTTATATTATTTGAGACAGAGTCTCTCTCTGTCATCCAGGCTGGAGTGCAGTGGTGTGATCTCGACTCACTGCAACCTCCGCCTTCTGGGCTCAAGTGATTCTCTTGCCTCAGCCTCCTGAGTAGCTGGGATTACAGGTGTCAGCCACCACCCTTGGCTAATTGTTGTATTTTTAGTAGAGATGCGGTTTCACTATGTTGGCCAGGCTGGTCTTGAACTCCTGGGCTCAAGTGATCCTCCCGCCTCAGCCTCCTGAGTAGCTGGGATTACAGGTGTCAGCCACCACCCTTGGCTAATTGTTGTATTTTTAGTAGAGATGCGGTTTCACTATGTTGGCCAGGCTGGTCTTGAACTCCTGGGCTCAAGTGATCCTCCCACCTTGGCCTCCCAAAGTGCTAGGGTTATAGGCGTGGGTCAAAGCGCCCGGCCCCTCGTCATTTCTAAGAGTGAGGCCTGTGGTTCCGGGCTCCTGTGCCCAGGACTGCAGCCTTGGGGCTCACCCCCAGCCAGGGAAGGCCCAGCTGTGAGTGAATAGTATGCCTCAGCTCTGGACAAAACGAGAAGCCACAGCCTTGCCCCCACCAGGCCCCTGAGCCTCACCACGCTTCTCCTTGCAGAACCACTGCCCTGGCCCCTCGGCTTGCGGGAGGTGAGGGTGAAGGTCAGGAGCAACGTCCTCTGTAACCAGATCTATTGCCGCCGCTTTCCTTCCAACCACACTGAGCCGCCTGAACAGCTCATCAAGGACGACATGCTGTGTGCCGGGGACGGGAACCACGGCTCCTGCCTAGTGAGACCCCAGACCCACCTGTCCGGCCCCTCCTGGGGGGGACGCGTGGGGAGGCACATGGGGAGCCCTTGCTGAGTGCCATCTCTCCCCACAGGGCGACACCGGGGGCCCCCTGGTGTGCAGGTGGAACTGCACCTGGGTCCAGGTGGGGGTGGTGAGCTGGGGCACCTTCTGCGGTCACAGCGACGTCCCCGGCGTGTACGCCCGCGTGACGAGCTACATGTCCTGGATCCACCAGCACGTCCGTCCCTTCCCTGGGGCTGCAGGGGCGTTCACGTGACGGAGGAGACCCCGCCTTCCTTGTGGACACCCTCCGCCCCTCCCCAGTTCCAGCCTCACTATCCTGGCACCCAGTGGTCCTCTGCCTGGGACCCACATTTCTGCTGCCCTTTCCTGCCTCTCATCCACGTCCCGTCCTTCTGGAGGGAGAGGCCTGGGCGCCTCTGCAGGCTGGTGTCTCCAGGAAGGCGGGTGTGCGTGGGGAGCAGAGGCCCCGGCTCTCCTGCCTCCTGCCTGACCTGGCCCTTGACTCTGATTAAACTGTGCGTAAAGCAGCCTCTGTGTGTCCGAGTGCATTTGTCCACAGGGCTGGGGAGGCTTCCCTTGGGGTCTCTGAGCTCCGGCCCTTCCTCGGGGCAGCATGGAGCTGGGTGTGGGCAGTGGGGGTCCCAGGGTGCTGTGGGGGCTCATCCTGGCTGGCACTTCCCCGCTCCTTCCCTCCCCTCTCCCCTCTCCCTCCTCATTGGCAACAGTCTGCCCTGGGCCAGGCCTTAGGTTCCAGCTGGATAAGGTGGTGGTTTCCACAGCGGGAGGACTGCATGGGCGCGGTGTCGCCGGCAGTGGGGACGGCTGTAGGGTGCACTGGAACAGCCTGGGAGTGGGGTCCTGGGTGTCCCTGGACCAGCTGAGGGGCTTAACCAGTGGGAGCTGCTTGGGCTGGATGGTGACGCTGAGGCTGGCTCCCCCGGGGGGCAGGGAAATGACAGGGTCACAGGGATGTGCCGAGGTTCCAGCGTCAAGCGGCTCACCTTCGTTCCTGCCTGCAAGAGGGTCAGGGCCACCTGAGGGGCAGGGCTGGGTTCTGCCCCCATCTCCTTGGAACTTGGCTCAGGGCTCCCACCCCTACAATCTGCGGTCCAGGCTGTGGGCTGCGGCGTTTGCTCTGGGAGCCCTTCCAAGCTCCGGTCCTGGGATTCAGAGGCCACGGTGGTGCTCTCTCTCGCCCCGGGGGGCCTGATGTACACGTTCCTTGGGGGAGGGCCCATACATGCACCTCCACAGGGTCAGAGTCAGAAAGGACAGATGCCCCCTTGCAGGGAGTGGGGGTCCAGGCCCACCAGAGACAGGCCCCTTCCCTTCAGAGTGGGTCAGCACGGGTCAGGGCTGCTGGCCGGGCTGGACCAGGTGTCCACCTGTGGCCCACAGCCCCACCTGAGTGGCACCCTGCTCATTTCCCGTCCACTCTCAGCCAGCATGTGCGGGGGCCTCAGGCTGAAACTCTCCGACCGTGGGGTCTGCCGGGTGCTGAGTTCTCCTGGGAAGGGGCGAGTCTTCCGAGGGGACCCTGAATCCCTCTGCCCTTCCCTGAGCTTGGGGCCCAGCTGCGCTGTCTGTAGATTGCCCACGGCACTGACCAAAGGCCTCCTCTGGTGCCTCTTGCTGGAAAACCAGGGTCTGGGGTGGCTCTGCTCATGGGAAGCAGTGAGCCAGCCTGCTGGGGTGTAGGGGAGAGGACTGGGGGGCTGCACCCTCTCTCTGCGTTTCTGGGACTGGTCTCTAACTGACCTCAAACTCCCCATCCTAATGCAGCCCCTGCAGGCCCGGGGAGGGCGGGAGACCTGACCCAGAGGAGGGAGACCTGACCCGGAGGAGGGAGACCAGGCTCCTGCTCTGTCCGGAGTTGGACACGGGATTCTCTCCCCGTATCTCAGGCTGTGTCGGCCCCACCGCGTGTTCCTCTGGGGGCTGTGTCGGCTCCTCGGGTGGGCTGTGATGCAGCGTGGGTGGGGTGGGGGGGCTGCGGCTTGGGTTGGGTAGGGCCCGCGGTTCCCACCATCTCCTTCATCTCTGCCTGCAGCTCAGTGTCCAGCAGGGCCGGGAAGCGCACTGGGTGAGTCCCTGGCCGCTGAGGGGGGTTCTCCACCAGGAGACTCAGCGCAGAGTCTGGGGGTCAAGGCCTCTGGAGATTTTGGTGCTGGGAGCCGTGAATATCTCCTCACTCACCATCTCATGGACGAGCAAAGCAGTCACGCTGTCCCGTGTTCTCCACATCATAGAGAATCGCCCTGCACCTTAGCGAGCGTTTCCATCTCGGTGTTTTTAGGGGTTTCTCACACCGCACAGGGCACTGTGAACAATGCCTCCTCAGAGTGAGACATGTCAGACCCACCGAGTCTGCGGCCCACCGCAGCGGCCCTGGCGTGCCCTGGTCTACACCCACATGACTGTTTCACTTCCACCCCTAGAGAGGACAAGACTCTCCCAGAGGCCAGGTTTCTCCACCTTTCATCAGGCATCGCTTGACACCTTCCGGTTCTTGGAGAGAAGACAAACGTCCCCTCCCCGCCAGGTGTCACTCCCTTTCATCCTAAGAACAACTGTGACCCCCAAGACGGGGAGGGAGACAGAGAAATGGGACCCGCATGTTCTGGGATTAGAGAATACAAGGCTTTAAAATAATCTTGGCCGGGCGCAGTGGCTCATGCCTGTCATCTCCGCACTTTGGGAGGCCGAGGTGGGCAGATCACCTGAAGTCAGGAGTTCAAGACCAGCCTGGCCAACATGGCGAAACCCCGTCTCTACTAAAAATACAAAAATTAGCCGGGTGTGGTGGCTGACTCCTGTAATCCCAGCTACTCGGGAGGTTGAGGCAGGAGAATCACTTGAATCCGGGAGGTGGAGGCTGCAGTGAGCCAGATCGTGCCACTGCACCCCAGCCTGGGCGACAGAGAGAGACTGTCTAAAAAAACTCTGCCAGGTGTTTTAAAGACTGACCTCAACAGACATTTGTTGATTGACTGAAAGACGGTACTAGCACCAGCTCCAGCAAGGGGAGACGCGCCATGCCCCCCATAGGCTTTATTTCAGGAGAGCCGTCAAGCTTCACACAGGGCAACGGAGGCTCCCAGGGAGGAAACCGTGTACTCAGCATCACGGTGCCAGGTTGCTGATTTAGAACGAGGTCATTGTCCTCCTCCAGCCTCGCCTGATAGCTGGGATCAAGGGCGCCCCCACCACCGCCCGGCTAATTTTTTTGTATTTTTAGTAGAGACGGGGTTTCACCGTGTTATCCAGGATAGTCTCGATCTCCCTGACCTCGTGATCCGCCTGCCTCAGCCTCCCAAAGTGCTGGGATTACAGGCGTGAACCACGCCCCGGCCATTCAAATCTTTTAAATCTTTTATTTTTATTTATTTATTTTTTGTTTGTTTTGTTTTTTTTTTGAGACGGAGTCTCGCTCTGTCGCCCAGGCTGGAGTGCGTGGCCGGATCTCGCTCACTGCAAGCCCGCCTCCCGGTTTACGCCATTCTCCTGCCTCAGCCTCCCGAGTAGCTGGTGTACAGGTGCTGCCACCTCGCCCGCTAGTTTTTTGTATTTTTTAGTGGAGAGGGGTTTCACCGTGTTAGCCCATGTTAGGATGGTCTCGCATCTCCTGACCTCATGATCCGCCCATCTCGGCTCCCAAAGTGCTGGGATTACAGGCTTGAGCCACCGCGCCTGGCTAAATCTTTTTTAAAAGCTTTCTGTTTTTCTCATTCTGGAGTTTTAGGAATTCTTTACACTCCTGGATACAAACATTGTATCTTTAATAAATATTTTCTCCCTGTCTGTAACTTTGTTTCATTTTCTTAAGAGTATTTTTTGATAAGGGGTTTTCATTTTGATAAAACTAGCTAAGAAAACTATTTTTTAAAATGGGCCAGGCACGTAGTCACACCTGTCATCTCAGCACTAGGGAGGCTGAGGCAGGAGGATCCTCGGAGGCCAGGAGGTCAGCACCAGCCTGGGCAACATAGTGAGAGACCCCATCTGTATTTTAAAAATGAATTATGCCATCTTTCAGCTAGTAGTCTACTATAATATCTTTTCCCATTGTTTTCACTATCAACTTTTCTCTCTCTGTAAACCGAGTGTATGTCTGTGATTTTGTTTTTATGTCCATCATGAATATTTGTTATATTTTTTTTTTTTTAAGATGGAGTCCCACTCTGTCACCCAGGTTAGAGTGCAGTGGGGAGATCCCTGCTCACTGCAAAACTCCACCCTCCCAGGTTCAAGCGATTCTCCTGCCTCAACCTCCCGAGTAGCTGGACTACAGGCACTGCCCACACACGCCCGGCTAATTTTTTTATTTTTAGTAGAGACTGGGTATCTCCATTGGTTTAGACTGGTCTCAAACGCCTGACCTCAGGTGATTCCTCCGGCCTCAGCCTTCCAACAGTGCTGGGATGACAGGCGTGAGCCACCGTGCCCAGCCATGCTTGTATTTTTAAATTTCCTCTTTTTTTAAAGTTTTTTTTTTTTTTTTGCTAATATTTGTATTACATACTTTTTAACTGGTAAGTTCACTCCTTTCATATTTATTAGAATCATTGATTTACTCAGACTGGTTCCTATTATCTTATTATGTTTATAAAATTTCAGCTTATTTTGTCTCCTTTTTTTCCCTTTCACCTTTCTGGAACAGATAGCTATGTGGTACCCTCATCAGGATAAGAAGTTATCAGCCTCTCACACCTGGCTTCTTCGTCCGAATCCAGCATGTGATACCATCTAGACTGTTAACTTCCTGGTTATTGTGGATATATTTTTCTTCTTCTTCAGGTGTTATCTATTTTTAAAAGAGTAACATTAAATAAACCCTTTATCCACCTATTTGATCCCTTCCTTTGGCGTGAATGTATCTCTTGCAACATTTTCCTGTAATGCTCTTCCTTTTTATTTAAGAGTTTTTATAAACTGTTTTATTTTTTTTTATTTTATTTTTCTTTTTTGAGGCCGAGTCTCGCTCCTCGTTGCCCAGGCTGGAGTGTAGTGGCCAGATCTCAGCTCTATACAAGGCTCCGTCGCCTCCGGGTTTACCGCCATTCTCGGCCTCAGCCTCGCCGAGTAGCTGGGGACTACAGGCGGCCCGCCACCTCGCCGGCTAGGTTTTTGTATTTTTAGTAGCAGACGGTGTTTCACCGTGTAGCCAGTGGATCGGCTCTCGATCTCCTCCTCGTGATCCGGCCCGTCTCGGCCCTCCCAAGAGTGTGGGACTTACAGGCGCCCGCCACCGGG